TAAGCACAACAATGCTTCTTGCGGGACTTTTCAATAGTTTCATATCTGTTCTGCCTTCAAACGGATATTCATACCCTTTACATGCGAGGCCTGACATGATGGTTCACTTTCCAACAGGCCTGTGGTCATGCGATCCACTTTGTTCTTGCTCCATGACACTCTGTTTCCGATGTCGGCAATACATTCGCAACGCCTCTTCGTCGACAGGCCAAGCTGATGAGCTCTTGAGGTCGACTGTATCAAGTGCCACTCGTCAACGGAACTCTCTCAGACCTGGCGAGCACACCAGTCGTGCAAGCTCTCTTCCCACAACTCCGCCGGCCAGCTGCACTGTTGTCATGACAGCCCGGACAACCGACTCTTTCCAATCGGCTTGTTCTCCACATCAATTTGAGTCGCATGGCTCGACGACAGAGGCTCTCCCTGCTTCGACGAAAACATGCTCGGCCAAGGTCAGTCAAGCTCATGTAGGGACAAATTGTGGTTTCTTTTATAACCCAGCAGGTGCGTAGGCCTCCCGAGACCATCTCTCTTAGCCTCTAAGCATGACCGATGCTTCCTTCGCCTTCCTCTCCTCCTCATCATCATCAGCTTTATCATAATCATCGTCATCCTCATTATCATCGTCATCGTCAGCATCGGATAGTATGTAGCAAGTCGGGCGTCTCTTAAATCATATTTTAACAATAGCATCATATTTGACGTCACAATCGACTGCACTACTTATATCCACGGTGAGTAGTCATCTCAACTGTCAGTGGATCAAAAATATGAATAATTTAATAAATCTATTTTATTTCAACCGTCTCGCCAGGCGAAATAAGCTTGTTGACTTGCGTTCTTATTGAAAATTTTTTTGGCAGAATCTCATCAAGCGGGACAGGGACTCTCGAGAGTGAAGATGCAAAAGTCGATTTTGGTGTTGAGGGTTGGTTCGGTCCGAGAGGTACAGCAGCTCAATGGAGGCTGTGGTCAAGGTCGCTCGCGTGCAAAGTCAAACAAAGAGCCGTTTCGTGATTTTATTGCTTTCACCCACTGCCGAAGGATGACTAACAGAACTGGTCCAAATGTTGCCATGGCAACGGGTGACAGCCTGGTGACGCAAGGTCTGGCGGCAGGACGTCAGCGGACAGACAAAAGTCTGCACAGACTGAGAGGTGTGCATTACAGCAGCAAAAGATGTGTAAGAAAAGACGAACACCGACAGACTAACAAAGAGAGCAAACCAACATGACCAAGCAACGGCAACGAGACACCAGCCGAGCTCAAGCAAACACATTTTGACGGGTACGTGAGCCGACGTTCGCCAGGAAATGGTGCACAAGCACAAAAGGCATTATGGTTTGTTGATAGCCGGTCCGAAAAAGGAAACAGGAGGATAAAGTGTCTTGTGAGTCTGGATTGCAAACACAGCGTCAGCGTCGAAGTTGGAGAAGAAACATCAGCGTCTCTATGACGATGGGAAATGATGTAGCGCTGGCGAGTGTGTCAAACG